GACGTAAGAACTAATCGTGATCGAATCGCAAAGGAGCTAAAATGACGTCATTTTCTATATTTAGATAGGAGTTATATCTATTATGATAGAAAAGCAAAGTAAATATAATTAACTCAGTAACTGAAGAGAAAAAACGAAAGTGATTTTCTATATATCTTTAAAATTTAAATTGATTAATATTCATAATTTTAATTTATATTGAATTTAAATAGAAGCAATTGATTCCTTTTCTAAATTATAATCGTCATTAGTATGAACACGAAGAAAACAATTCTGGTAAAATGACCGTTTTGTAAGGTCTTCTAAAAAGCTCATAATTTTGGTTGATAAAACAAAGATTTGCGAAATTTAACCATTCGATTAATTAGTTAATCCTTCCGTTCATATGGGAACTATTTATCGGAAATTCTGGTTTTCTAAATTCTAGTTCTTATTATCACACATTTAGTAAAAATACAAAACTGAAATGTAAATAAATAGTTTCATACCATGTTTCATGATAAATTTACCAAATTTTATCACATTTACCAAATTTTAGATGTATTTCAACCATTCGATTAATTTGGTAATTCTTCCGTTCATATGGGAACTATTTATCGGAAATTTTGGTTTTCTGAATTCTAGTTCTTATTATCACACATTTAGTAAAAATACAAAACTGAAATGTAAATAAATGGTTTCATACCATGTTTCATGATACATTTACCAAATTTTATCTCATTTACCAAATTTTAGATGTATTTCAACCATTCGATTAGTTTGGTAATTCCTCCGTTCATATGGGAACTATTTATCGGAAATTCAGGTTTTCTAAATTCTAGTTCTTATTATCACACATTGAGTAAAAATACAAAACTGAAATGTAAATAAATGGTTTCATGATAAATTTACCAAATTTTATCGCATTTACCAAATTTTATCACCTATTATAAAACCATATTTTATTGTTAATTTTGCAAAAATTATTACCGAAGCACTTCAGTAAAATAACCGAGATTTCGGTGATCTCATAAAAAAAGAAACACTGTATATTTTAGCATATTTAGGTAGTTTTAACCATAATTTTTTTTCTCGATGTATAACCACATCATATCGCTAACATGATTCTTAAAAAAATAACACTTTTTGCAAGCCATTGCATTAAATTTTCAATTAGAGACGAAACTTAAATGATAAACTTCTTTTTATCAACTTGTTCTTCAATTTAAATTTTAAAGAAGCGAGTATGAACCATTTTTCAATATATTATAGAAGCGGAACTATGTAAGAGAAGAACGAAAATCGATTATCTTCTATTTTAAAAAATGTCTTGATTATAATTATAAAAGTTATCTTCGTTTTTTTTTTAACTTTTAATGAGCTCTTTCTATTTCAAATAATTGCGTTTTTTATTTGAATCATAATATCTGTAAAGGTAATAGCGAAACAGAATAATTTTTCTTTTGGTATTGTAGTTATGTTTGAAAAATGCTTTTTTAATTTTCAAAATCTGAAATTGCTTTTTGGAACTTGTTATAAAATCTTAGTAACATATTAATTATCGTGAAATATACTAAAAAATTTAGAAAGATAGTTTGTTAATAGTGACTTTTCGCAATTATATATTTTAATATTGTTTGTAATTTTATTTTTTGTCTGCCAAGCTCTTTGTTTTTATAATTTATACTGTTTCCTAAATTATCAAACAATAATACTTATTTAAAGTATCTGACTAATGCTAAAATATGATTTTGGAAAAAGTTTCGAAATTGAGTTTATTATAAATTTAGAATTCCTTTACTCTTAGTTTTAAAAATACTTTGCCTTTTCTGTACTCAAATTATTTACAGAGTTATAGTAGTTTTTGTGCACGGTGATAACAGAGGATAGACTATTGATTTGAAGTCCTTAAGTTCGTTTATCTCAAGATCAGATTTTACTTCACTTTAAATACGACATTTCTTGTTGTTTTTAAAATGATTGTCAACATTTTTTCATGAGTGCTTATGATTAAAGCTCATATGTTTTGAACTACAGACAAAGAGAAAGAAGTAGAATTTTATTTTTTATGCATGCTTTTTAGCAAACACAAGTGCAGAAATTTTTAAAAATTTGCTTTTTAAAATACATTGATCCCTTAAATAAAATCCTCAAAAGATTTTTTTTGTTTCGGACGATAAAAATTTTTTTACAGTGCTTATATGCAAAAAAAATTCCATTCCTTATTTTTTATCTAAAAATGGGCATTAAAAAAAGAAGCAATATTTTTTTGCTATTCTTATAAGCTTTTACAAATAAAACGTATAAACTAGTTTACTTTAAGTTAAAATTGGGAGAATAATTTTATGCGTAGTAAAACATACTTGTAATATGTTTTGCAGGGCGTTTCATTTAATTTGGCAAAGTTTAAAATGTGGTAGAGTATGATGAAGAAAACAATTTCTGTTGTCGAATATGGCAATAAGGTATGCTATGTGTGTGTCAGATAATCAAGCAAAATATTACCGTAAATCTCCAAACATGTTTATCTATCTTTTCATCCTAGAGCAGGTGTAAAATACCTCCAGTAGTAGATGGTTAAGTTTTCGAGGTTTTCCTTTCATATACCACAAATAAAGGTTTCCATCAAAAAATTCTCTTAGAAAGCCAGTTAGTCCCAACTTTTGATCCAGAAGTTCCCTTGTTTTCTGGATTGGATTCAAAACTTGAAGCAACAGATTTGATAACTGTAAATCAATGCAGGTGTCAAGATAAAACATAAAAATGCTGGAGAATACATACCAGATGAATAACCAGATGAATAACCAAGTAAACCAGATGAATACCAGTTTTACATTTGTCTTTCACGAGCTTTAAACTGGAAAAAGCTCCAGATCAAATTACGGTGAATACCCGGTTTGATCAAATTGCGTTTTAACGAAAAATCCATTTTCACCGGAGCATGTTACGAAACAAAATTTCTGATGCAACGTAATTTTTACAGTAACAATTACCGTAAAATCATTGAGTCACTCTAATTAAATAAATATTACTGTAAAATTTACGGTATGCTATTTTACACTAAAATTGGATTTTACTAATGATGCACCCAAAATATCAGCTCTTTATACCGCAATTTGATCTGGAATTTTTTACGGTGTAAACTGTGCTAGAATGAAATGATGGATAGAGTAATAAGAGATTTCTGTATACTAAGTGTTGTCTGAATGATGTCCCGATATAAAATTATTTAAGAATCTTATCACTTGTCTTTATAATATAATTTATCACTGAAATTTTTATCGTCTTTGATGCAAATAATTCTGGATCAAATTACGGTATAAATTGCAGACACTTTAGAGGCTTCATCCGTAAAATATATTTTAGTAAAAAATATTTATCTATTTTACCACAAAATCCAAGTTTTCTCGTAAAATATTAAACCGTAAATTTTGCAGTAATATTTATTTAATTAGAGTGATTCAGTGATTTTATGGTAATTATTATAGTAATTAGTACTATTAAAATTATGGTATATCAGAATTTCTGTTCCATTATAGGTTCCGGTAAAAAAGGATCTCAAGGCAAAAATTACCAGCATCTGTACCTCTAAAAACTACCTGTACTTTTTACCGAAATTTTCTCCTGAAATTTTAACAGTGCTTCAGGTACTTTTATAAAGGTTTTCTTCTCCTATAACTTAAGTTACACTATTAAATTTGTCAGTGAACAACCGGGCTTTCTGTAAATAATTAGTAGAATCACCAATGACTTAAATAAAGAGGTATTTTAGTGCAATAAAAAAATAAAAAAGGGCAATTTAAAACTACATTCTTTTATTAAACTAATTTCTTAGATAGATCCAAAACAATTTACAGCCTCTTCAAAAACAGCCAATCTCTTTCTGTTCTAGGAATAATTTAACGTTTTTTGATATTAGAGTTACATGTTTCTTTTATTTCTTTTCTTTTTTTTTGCCCTTTTCACTCTCGCTAAATTTTATTCTTAAAAGTCCAGACAAAATTAATTTTATTTCAGTGCAATTTATGGTTAAAAATTTGAAAAATATTTTGGGTTTCAAATATTGGAAATTTTTTACGCAATTTAATTAAATGTAATCCTGCACTGTAAAAAAATAAGAATCAAGCTAAAAAGCACCAGCACTAAGTGTGCTGGTATTTTTTACCATAAAATCCAGTTTTACCGGAGTATGTTATCTAATGTAAATCCGGAATATGTTTTCCAATGTAAATCAGGAATATGTTAATTTTTACAGTAATAATTACCGTAAAATCAATTGATCCCTCAAACTAAAATATATTATTGCAAGAAAATAGTATAATAATTTTACTGTGAAAATGAATTTTACGGATTATGTACCCAAAGTGTCGGTACTTTATACAGTAATTTGATTCAAATTTTTTACATTGAAGTACAAAATAAAAAGAGCTATAAAATACCTTGTACTCCAAACCCTAGACAATATACTAAACCCCCTACATATGTACCGAAAAAATTATTTGTTATTTTTTACGATCTCTGTTAATTAAAAATTTAATAAAATTTGCATTAAGAAGCAATAGGAGCAACAAAATATCTTGTAATCAAAACCCTAGACAATGTAGTAAACCCTCTACATAATTACCGAAAATAATTTATTTGACATTTTTTATTCAATCTTGTTAGTAAAAAAAATTAATAAGATTTGTATTAAGCTACCTATATTCATTAAATATAAACAATAAAACATAATCACTAAACCTTTTTCTCCGTGTCAATATCCATCTTCATTCATTGACTTTTTATCAATTTTACGTTCATTGTTCTTTCCCTTCCTTTTCAAAATTAAATAATTAAAAACAATCTCGACAATGGCATTGACACAAATGAGGCTGATACGTTAAATAAACAATCGGAAATTCGTTAATTTCCCGTTGGAAAAGGCGACAATAAATCACGCTTTCGATATTCTCCGTCACCAACTCAGCAAGGTCTGCAGATGACTACTCTGCAGGTGTGGTAGTAATATGGTCAAGGGCATCATCCTAAACCCGCATCTTTTCAAGTGAGTTACTATCCAAGGTTTACTAGGTCGTAGAATCCTTGGACCATCGGGTTTCTGGTGAGATACTTATAAAAATGAATCACTTTCTCTTTCGCTATCTTGTTGAGGAATCTTCTCAGTTGTTTAAGTATTGGCTTACAAATGGATCGTATATTTGGGCATGCTCTTCTCTGGACTCTGTTGTTTGTGGTTAATGCTTTGAGGATTGAAGGTGAGTGCGTTTCGAGTGAACTTGATATTTTTTATAAAGTTGATTTTCTTTTTCTTCTTTTTCATTCTTCTTTTTTTTTCCTTTCTTGATTTTGACCTTTGTCGGATAAATATTTATGTAGCGTATATCTTTGAAATATTTTGGATGTTCTCTTGTATCGAGTTTCTTTCTTTTTTTTTTCTTCTTTTTTTCTTAAGTTGCTATTTTGGTACAAAAGCAATACAATTAAAAACTGAATTTGACTTTAATATTCAAAAATGCACTTCCTGACATAAAAAAAAAATTCTGCCGGCTCGTAACGTTCTATTACGTTTAACGAAGACTTTACTTATCATAAGGATCTTAAAAGCTGAAGCATAGTTTAAGCAAAAAATAATAATAAATTATAATTAAAATTATAAATAACTGAAATTTAAAAAAAATGAAAAATATATTTCGCAAAATCGTTTGCATAGAATGTGATTAAGAATGTGCTACACTTTTTACACAAAAAAGCTTCTTCTGGGTTTTCTCGATTTCGTTCAAGGAAAACTACGCTTACTATTAAAATCTTAACAGCTAAACCATTTAATAGTTAAAATAAAGTAATAAAGATAAAATTAAATTAAAATTATAATTGAATGAAATTTAAAAAAAAGTTGAAAATATATTTTTAAAAATCATTGTTGAGAATGTGATTAAATTTATTTTTTATTAATAAATACGTTATTTTGTTCGTACATTTTATTACATTTAATAGTTATAAATAATTTTATTTTGTACATTTTAAATAAATGAAAGATTTAAAATGTGCCAAATTTATGGTAGATTATTTTTTATATTATTAATATATAATAATTATTACTAAAAATTGATAATTAATGATTGTTTATATTACATTTTTGTTTATATTCATTATTTGTTTATATTTTAATTGGCACATTTTAAATGCGTAAGAATTTTTTCTAAGAGCCTAAATAATAGTAATTCTACTTTAATTTCATATTATCAAAAACATATCTAATCTATCAAGTGAACTTATTTCATTTACTGACGATATAAAAGGGGTTAAGTACTCACACAACTACTCGTTGCCGTCTAAGAGAGTCGTGGTGGTTGTGGTTGCGTGATTTTCATGACAAAAGTCATGATAGAGGCAGTGTTGTCGGAATTAACGGGCAAGTTTGCAAATCATATTTTTCTTCGGAATGATGTAGAAAACCTGCCATAAAAAGGAATGAAATTTTTGTACATATTACTGCACTGAATAATTAGGAATGGTAAACAAAATATTCAGTTAATGGTCTCATTCCTTAACATTAATGATATTAATAAAGCCTATGAGATAGATGTGGGAAAGAGTTGTAATTAGCCATGCTCGTTTACTACTTTAAAAATATCAGAGTTTATCTGTCTTGCATAATGACTAGATAGCTAATTATTCCAGAAATTCGTTGATATGGTATATATTCTAAAAATTTAGTAAATGAGAGAGATAAGAGTTTTTTGAACGATGAATGACCAAGCAATTTTCTTTTAAAGGCAAATAGCTAACACTAGTTTTGGTAACAATAAAAATATGTATATTTATTATATCTACTGGCAAAACATGAAACAATGAAACATTTTACTTTTTGCATAAGCATAGTATGTCATTTCAAATGATACACCAACGAAGTATGAAGTATGGTTATTTCATACTTTTAATTAGTAATCTTATGTTTTATTGGTATTAGTTAAAAGTAAATTCTTGGTGCAACAAGTAGGTTCATGTTTAATTTTGATTTCTTTCATTAGAAAGTCAAAAAATGTAAGTAATCACCATGTACTACTCATATTAATTGAATTCATTGGCTAAGCAGGGAAGTATGATCCATTGTCTGATATTCCTAACACTGACATATTTTTAATACACTCAAATGTGGAGAACAGTGCTCGAGTTTCTTTGACTGTCCTTAAAAGCGTTAAATTTCGTCGAGGACAGAAAAGGACACCAAATTATAGCATACGTCCTCAAATTTTTTCAAAATCATGCAATTTTTCTACTGCATGTAAATATTAAAAAAAATTGAGAAATACAGACTATGTTTTTTTTCTTAACAATAAAGTTTTGTCTTAGAGCGAATACAAACGAAAAGCAAAAAAGCACCATGCTAAAACTGTCAGATGAAAACACATTAATCGCCTAAAAATAATTTTAGCGAATTTTGATTTTGTAGAATATTATATGATGTTTCAAAACTGCTTAGTATGGAAATCAAGTTTCTTGAAGATGGTTCTGCATCAGATATTGGTTATTAATTTTTAAAATAAAATTTTTGTTGCACAGATAAATCAATAATTTGCATACATGTATAGAGTTCTTAAATCGTAAAACATTTTGAGGACGCCCCGATGGTTTGTACTCAAATCATTGCTTTTAAATCTGGTCACCTAACAAAAGACCATTGTCCGATATTCCTTACACTGTTTTGATTAATCGGGTATCATTAATACTTACCCAAATAGTTAAATCCAGCAATATTTTTAAGCAGATAAAAAATTAGTCGAAAACAATAAATGTGTTGTTTCTTTTTTCGCAATTTACATCTGCTGAACAATACTGTCATATTTTTTTCCTAAAAAGTATTTGTCATTGTATACAATGATGAAATTTCGTAAATTGCCGTTAATATACATTAATTCTGTCACGTTACTTGCAAAAATATGCCCTCTTTAAAAAAAAACATTCTTAAATGATGAGATTAAAAGAAAAATTGTTTTTCTGTAACGTATAATAATAATAAATCTAAAACAACTTTGCTAAATGAATAATGTGCTTGTTTAAAACATTTTATGCTTTAAATAACAAACTGTTAAGGTAAATATACCACAAAGTATTTAATTGTAGTAAACAGTATCAAGTAAGAGTAAATCTTTAGCACTAGTAAAGTAGGATTTAAAGCCGGCTGATAATTTACTCACCTTACTAGTAATGAAATCAAAAGTTCAAAGTCTTAGAGAAATAGTTTCATGATATTTTTAATTAATAAATGCAATAAATATATGTATATTCTACGAAATATTTCTACTAAAAGGAATGCGTGCATTGACTTTGACAATGTATTCCATATTATAAAGTTTTGAAGAACTATGAAACAATAATTTAACTATAAATTTATTGCCAGTTTTTTTTAACAAATTTTGATAATTTAACTGCAAATTTCTTGCATAAACTTTATTTTAAGGAATTCAATAAAATTATCCGTTTAAATTTATTTAAAAAGAAAAAAAATTTCGTGTTTTATTACGGAAAAATAAATTTTGGTTATAAATAATTAAAATGACAATTTTGAAGCGATCGGACAATACATTTTGTTCTGAAAGGAACAATAAATTAAACTTAGTTTTATAGAACAAAAATTACAGAATGTTAATAATTCTATTATAACTCATTATAGTTAACAGCTTCCAAATAACTGTTTTTATTAGGATAATTTTTATTAGGAAAAATACATTTTTTACAGAACAGAAATTACAGAACGTTAATAATTCTATTATAACTCACTACAGTTAACAGCTTCCAAATAACTGTTTTTATTAGGAAAAAGACTTTTTTCATAGAACAAAAATTACAGAACGTTAATAACTCTATTATAACTCACTATAGTTAACAGCTTCCAAATACTGTTTTTATTAGGATAATTTTTATTTGGAAAAATACTTTTTTTGCAGAACAGAAATTACAGAACGTTAATAATTCTATTATAACTCACTACAGTTAACACCTTCCAAATAACTGTTTTTATTAGGAAAAACACATTTTTTTAATTATTATTTTATTTAATCTCAAAAAGAATTTATTTCTAAAAACTTGCATCTAGCTAGTTTTAAAAACAAAAATCACAATCTCTAAGGGAAAAAAAAATTAAACTTTGCTTCATATTACATCAGCATAAATGCGATATAAAAGCAATTAATTTTTCTTAGAAATGCTAACAATCGTTTCAAGAAAATTAATCAGGAAATGATACAAGCTATGGAGTCTGATTATGAAAGAGACAGGAAAAATAACTTCCAAGTCCTGTAGCCACAAAACCACATCTAGGTCGAATAATAATATTAGAAAACAGAGCATTACCACAAATAAGAAATCAGGTAAAAGACACCTCAACAGCTTATTGGTCCATTTATTCATAACTGTAAATTCAAAGAAATCGTTATCAACATGAATTTATAAACCACTTTAATTTACTTTACCACACTATTATTTAAATGTTAATTAAATGCACTTTTTTAACCATTTCTTTAAGTACAAATATTTAGAAGCGCTATCAAAATCTGTCTAATAATTTAAATTTGCACAGGAATAGGCTTACTATTCAAATAATTAAAATATAATATAATTTTATTATTTATAAAACTGTTTTATTTCTTATGTAATAGTAATTTATTTTTGATATATAACATATTTGGACATTCAAACATTGATATAACATTATTCAATATTATACAATAGGCTAACCAAAGCTTTTTTATGTAAGAATTTCGGGAAATAAGCAAATATAATAAACGATTCAAAGTGCCGTAAAATTTTTCACCTCACAAGTCCTCCGCCATTCTTTCTGTGCATAAAATGTAGTGAGAAGACATAGGGTTTAAGACACTAAGTTTTCATTGTGAAAGATGGGGTTCAATTCCCGGTGGTGGCCCATATCCCACCTAGTTTGAGATCAGTGTGTACCAGCAAGTTAGAGAAATAAAAGAGGCTAGAGCAGTACAAGGCCATTGGCTACGAAATTCTGATTCCTTTCTCTATATAACCTCTTGGCTAGAAAATTGACTATTGCGGAATGTTTTCTATTGTTTTTAACGGTTAAAAATAACTTTTACAAAATAACTTTCAATAAGAAATATGGAAAATATGCTTCTTAGATTCAAATTGGATAATCCCACTTGATAAGCCCATGGTTCTAGACATAAAACATATGATTGATACATATGACTGTATAAATTGAGAAAAAAAAAGTAAGATCTTCTGAAATATTATTTTTTTGCTTTCTTGTAGGTCTTATACTTACCATACATCCTATATGTCTACTATTTCCTCTAAATCTTGTACTTACCTCCTCTAGGTATTTACTTTCCTATATTTCTTAAACCTACTTTTGGGACTGGTATTATAACTGTCCCTTTCAAGCATCTCTTTTTTGGTGCGATTATTTTCTTGAGTATTGAAATCTTTATAAACATTTTATTGAAACATAATAAAATGTGATTTTTTTATGTAAACTGCTGCAGATACTATGTTTGCAAAACTTAAATGTTTTTAGGGTTTGAATGTGGAAAGCAGACTGTACGAAACGGACGAATAGTCGGTGGTGAAGATGCTTTTGATGGTGAATTTCCTTTTATGGTAAGTAGTCATTTAACTTTAGTTTATTTTTTACGAAATAAAAAACTTTGATCTAACGTTAAATGCTTAATTTTCATATATATTTGTAACTAATCTGTGATAAAACTAGTCGAATTCGTGCAAAATTTGACAAAGAAATTTTTTTTTTTAAAAAAGTAAATAATAATGTTGACTACCCTTTTTATGCATTTTCATTATTATTTTGTTGCTGCGCTTTATTTTAAGACAACAGTTGTAATAAATTCTAAAAGCTCCGGCATTGCGCACAAGAATACGAGAAATTGATGTAAATAATAACTGCAATTAAATTGTTTACAATAACAAATTACACTTAAAGGAAATTGTTGTACAGTTTTTGTAAACAAATATTAAAATATTGGAAGTGAATATTCCAACTAAATTTATAAATGACCTGAAAGCGAATGAATTATAATTATAGCGAAAAATTTTAAGAATCACTTAGAAAAAATTATTTTTTCTTGCATGCTAAAACTTCACTCAACTTACTTTGAGAGTGTGTTTGACCACCTTAAAATAATTGATAACATTAATTTATCCAGTGCCATACACTGTTATATTTTTCATTTTAAAATTATGGTAATCGGCAGAAGTATGTCCATCCAATTGACTGCTAAATTTAAGCTTGATAAAAAAACTTTACCTTTGAGGTTTTGAAACCGTTTACAACTAATATGGTTATAAAACCATAGGAACAAAATTTATAGGTTTTTTATAACCATTTACAACTAGCATGGTTTCAAAGCCGGAAAAAGAAATTTAACTGGAGATTGCAGCTAGGTTTTTCACAAGGGTCACAAATTGGGGAGTGCAGGATACTGGAAACTCTTCATGTGTTGAAAGGTATGGATAATATATTGTGGTGTCAAAGTGGGGACTGAAATTCTCGTTCTGTTAGTCATTGGATTGACAGATTTGCCTTTTCGAGTATAATATTCCCCCACCCGCTAATAAAACTGCTGGACAATTGCTAAGGACGGATCACAAATTGCAATGCAGCATAACATTAAGCGAGACATGAGGCCTAGTAGGATAAAATATAGTTACCACACTGTTCAGACATTAGAATAAAGAATATTCATTGTTCTGGAAAGTACAAAAGCTATGAAACATCTGAAAGAAAAAAAATGTTCATTTGATGCTGCGTACGGAAAAATGGAACAATGCATCTAAATGTCAGCAGGCAACTTGAAGAAAGGTGTCAGTACGTGATATGTCCACCGTGGAGTGTGATGCAACATTCTACACGTCGTATCATACTTTGCACAACATTATCCAGCAGCTGTTGAGGCAATTTATCCCATTCCTCTGTCAGTGCACGGATGAGGGTGTTCTTGTTTATCGGATGATAGTTTCGACCAGCAAGTTGCCTCCCCAAAGCATCCCAAACATTTTCAAAGGGGTTTAGATCTGGAGAACGTGATGGCCATACGAGGCGTTGAATACCCTCGCTGTCTAGACAATCCTGAACAGCGAGTGTTCGATGACATGTTGCGTTGTCATCCATAAAAACAAATTTATCACCGACAGCACCACAGAAAAGACGAACATGAGGAAGTAGAACTTCATCAATGTATCGTTGGCCCGTCATAGTCCCATTCGCAGCCACATGTAGGCGCGTGCGGCCATTGATCATGATGCCGGCCCACACCATGGCACTGCATGTCGGATATCGGTCCCTTTCCTGGATATTTTCTGGACGATAACCAGTACCACTCTCGCGCCAGATCAGTTGGCGTCTACAATCCGATGACAGACTGAAGCTACTCTCATCTGAGAATAATACTCATGCCCAGTCCTGTTCAGTCCAATTGTGATGCTCACGACACCATTGCAAACGGACAGTACGGTGCTGTCTGGTCAATGGGACGCACACCAGGTCTGCGGGGGTATAGTTCTCCTCCCCTCAAACGTCTGGCAACAGTTTTTCGGGAGATCTGCTTTCCTGTGGCAGCAAGAAACTGATTTGCCACCTGCTGAGCTGTGGTGTGCATGTTCCTTTTTGCTGATAGGACGAGGTATCTGTTTTCTGCAGGCGTCGTACCTCTAACACGACCTCCCCCGTGCCGCCTACTACACATTCCAGTAGTTTTAAATGATTCCCACTGCCGTGAAACAACGCTGTGAGCGATGTCGAACTCCCTGGCAACATCTGTTATTTTCCGCCCTTCTTCGATCTTTCCAATAATTCGGCCACGCTTAAAATCATCTAAGTGATATCGGAAAGACATGCCGAAAATTTCAAGTTCGTCAACTAAATCTTTCCTGTAAAACTTTGACTTGAAACAACAACTCTCCACATGCGTCAAAACCTTTAAAGCTCTTATCAGCGCTATCACGTGATGAACAGACGTGGAAAAAAAATTTGCATACGCATACCTCTTCTTACTATTCCGGGCACTTATTCTAATTTTTCACATTTTGATTCCTTTCATTTTGTGGTTGCTATGGATGATAGTGTTATCCGTCCTTAGCAATTGTCCAGCAGAGTAGTTTCATTAAGCGAGTCCAGTTGGTGCGAAAAAATTCTGGTTGTTTAATTGTTTTAAGTGAAAATAGGTAATAAAAAATATTTTCGCAGCTAACAGTTTGAATATCATCTTATTCATGATCATTTGACTGTTTTGTAATTAAATAAATTGTTATATAACCATTTCTTCGGAGAAATTTCTAACAGCGTATAAATTAATTTGTAATAAATAATTGACAGTCTAAAGTTAAACTCAAATTTTTCTTATCTTAATTTGATCACTCATAATGATATTTTTTTCGCTCTTCTATTGAAATTTTTTATCTTTTCAAAACTTTGATCAACGTCTTTTATCAGCTCAATGTACTAGTACGCCATCAGGGCATAGATAGCCTGGTTGGTAGGACTTTAGGCTTAGTTCTGTAAAAATGGGAGTTCGAATCCCACCTTCCGAAGAATGACTGGTGCACGTTAATGGTTAATGGTGACTGGTGCACGTTAAATCTGTCGTTGTCACAAAGTCCTCCAAGTTCCCGTAACAAATCAATACCTGTAGGGTACTGAATTGGAAATCGATCATTCTCTGGTTTAGGTCAAAATTATGATGTGTGAATGAATGAATGGAGTATGAGTAGGTCCTCCTTTTAAAACAGGCTATGACGTGTGTGTGGCTGATGTCGTATTCTTTATCATAGACGGTGCCCCTGAAAAAAACAAGAAACGCACTCTAAAAATTTGCTTGATTTCAAGCTGGCTTGTTGGTATTGGCTTGCAGCATAAGCAACAACAACCAGTGCTCTAAATTTTAGTTCTGTTGTACATACCCTTGCTTAAACCACAGACATTATCGGAAGTTGACCTTTGTAAAAATCATTGGATTTAAGGAACTCCATTTTTCATTAAGTTAAGTAAACAAGTTTAGACATGTTTGTGACTATTACTTAAAAATTCATTGTATTAAAATATTTAAGTGACAAAAATAGCTTGAAAATATTTGGAAAATAAATCAACAGTTATATCTCTAAAAAAACTTATATCAATAAATTAAAGAAAAATAATATATATAATTCCTGAAATATATGACTGGATCAAAAACAATACTCGACATTCGATTCTTAATACCAATAAACATAATTTTTTTATATATATGTTTCTGTTTTTATGGAATAAAAAGACATTCATGTTTCGACAAATTTTACCCCGCGTATTGCTTGAAAAGTAGGACGATTGCAACTTCTAGTATTAAATCAGAAGCTTTTATTTTATTTGTACTTACGCGGGAAATACGGTTTATAGTAAAAGAAAACACGTACGCTCTAGAAGATATTGAATTCAATTTTAAAAAAATATTTTATGTATTGGAACTGAATTCCATCGCTAAAGATATTTCTCAATATACCGAGGAAAATGATTTTAGTTCAAAAGAGAAAACATTTCCTAATTTGGTTGAAAGAACAATATTTTAATGCAATTAAATAGAGTTTCGCATAACCTCCATCTATTACGTATTTTTTAATAATCTTTTGGAGAAATTTTTTAGTTGCTAAAAGACTCTAAGTGTTATTTAATTAAAGAATACAAGTTATCAAAATCTGACGAATCATTGCTAAAGTGAATTATGGGGAGTGGGACTTACAGTTTTAAAATATTTCTCTTTTATTTTCATTTATAATCATCCCCTTTCTCCGTTTTTTTAAATTTTTTTAAAATCATTTTTCTTCGATAATTGAAAGTAATTGAACAATAAGAAAGTGTTTGAATCTAAGTACGACTCATTGATCAAAATTTATCATATGATTTATTGTAAATTCTAACAATATGTCATATGATCATATGATATTTATCATTTGAGTTAGATTCTCAATAGTACATATAACTCGACAGCATGATACATTGTATCCCTATGGCTCAAAGGTTAAAATTCATATTACAGAAATACACGCAATTAAATATTTCCAAGCTGAATCTCTATGCTTTTAAAATGTTTTTACAAAGTGTTAAAATTTTTGTCGAACATACAATTTTTGTCGAAAATTAAATTTTTATAATCTCATCTTTGAGTTATTTTATTTTTACTGTCGATGTAATCGCTTTAAGAATTTCCTCCCAATTTTAGATTTCTAAATAGATAATGCTGTATTCATTAGAAAAAAAAAGTACAATAAACAACGGAATTCTTTTTACAATGTTTAGAAGGGTGGTCATTATTGTGATTCATGACCAAGACCGATTAAGCCGAGATGGCTCAGGGGATAGAGCGTTCGCTTTCCAATGAGGTGAACCGGGGTTTGATCCCGGCGATGGCTGGTCGATACGAATTCCGCATCCGGCTTGCACCGACCACAGAGCTGGTGTGAAATATTATCAGTGGTAGACGGATCATGGGTTAGAGTCCCCTTGCCGTCAGGCTAACCGTGGGAGGTTCTCGAGGTCTTCCTCTCCATGTAAAGCAAATGTGGGTTAGTCCCATCGAAAGTTCTCCACGAAGGCAATTTATCCCAATACTTGATCCACGAGTTCCTTTGTCTTCTGGATTGGGTTCAAAATTACGAGTCTAAGGAGTTGAACATCCAAAGCAGTCGTAAACCCAAAAATTGGGTCGGCTGTTCAACGACGGTTATAAAATAAAGTAAAAACCAAGACCGAGGTACCAATCCCACTAGATTACAGAAAAGAATGATGAAAGTGAAATGTAACGATATTTATCCATGAAAGAATAATAATGTAAACTTTATTTAGAGAAACTAAATTTTTAAATTCCATCATTATTCATTATTTATTTACATTTTATTTTTCTTCTTTTTCTCTAACTATTCCATTTGCTCCTAATTACAAAAACAGAATATTAAAAACATAACATCATGATTTAATGTTAAATATTGAAGAGTTATATGAAAAAACTACATCAAACCATTAGTCACTCACAAGCGTCATTTCATGGCTTCAAGGAGTAAATATAAATAAAATCTTAAATATCAATGCAATCATTAAATGTTAAAAATAGAAAAGTTAATAGGAAAAAAACTGTATGAAAGCATTGGTTACTCACAAATAGAATTTCATGGTTTCAATAAGTAAATAAATATAGAATCTTAAATATCAATGCAATCATTAAATGCTAAAAATCGAAAAGTTAATAGAAAAAAAAACGGTATCAAAACATTGGTAACTCACAAGTGGAATTTCATGGTTTCAATAAGTAAATAAATATAGAATCTTGAAAATCAATGTAATCATTAGCTGCTAAAAATCGAAAAGTTAATAGACAAGAAACTGTATCTAAACATTGGTTACTCACAAATTGAATTTCATGGTTTCAATAAGTAAACGAAAATAAAATCTTGAAAATCAATGTAATCATTAAATTCTAAAAATCGTGAAGTTAATAGAAAAAAACTGTATAAAAGCATTGGTTACTCACAAATAGAATTTCATGGTTTCAATAAGTAAATAAAAATAGAATCTAAAAAATCAATGTAATCATTAAATGCTAAAAATCGAAAAGTTAATAGGAAAAAAACTGTATCAAAGCATTGGTTACTCACAAGTGGAATTTCATGGTTACTGAGAAAATAACTGAGAAAAACTGTTTATTAACTGTTTTCACCTAGTACGGTTAAACAACCAGAGCAACCGCACCAACCAAACCCACCTAATAGAGACGCTTAGTTCCTTGCAACTCAAACATATTACAACCAAAAAGGCTGATTTGTTAGTCTCATGACCAGCAGACATGAGGTTTGAGTCCCAGCGTTGACACCACAATATTTCATCCATTCCCTTCAACGCATGAAGAGTGCCCATTGTTCTGACCTATCCAATGCTCATTGACTAACGAAAAGCCTAGTTCCTATATCCATTTAAGATTCTTTTTTACAATTTTGAAAACATGCTAGTTGTAAGTGGTTAAAAAACATATATTTTTATATTCTTTGTCTTATAACCGTACTAGTTAAAAACGGTTTCAAACCCGTAAATAAAAAAAAATGTTTTTCCCCGTAAACTTTACGGTTAATCGCATGGATAAACAGACTGTTGCCGGGTGTTTTACAATAATTTTAGAATTAAAATTTTAACAGTGTAAGCGTATATTTCGTAATTCTTGAAAGTTTTAATGCTAAGAATCGAAGAGTCACTTGTGAAACATTAATATCCAATCAGTAATTACTCACTTCATATTTAATTTCACACGAGTTAAATATTAAAAAAAAAACAGGTTTTAAACGTAATTAAGACCACTTATGCTTCGTGAGGTGATGATAGCTTATCAATTAAAAGCACTTTTTTTTACGTTTATTTCAGGTATCTCTACGTTTAGGAGGAAGCGCATATGGTCAACACCACTGTGGTGGTGTCATCTTAAAGAAATTATGGGTTTTAACTGCAGCACATTGTGTAACAAGGTATGTAAATACATTATTCTACAATAATTACGAAAAATTATCTTTCAAAGTTAATAATTTTTTTAAAAAAAAACCACTTTTTTCAATGAAAAAATTTAAAATTTTCTTTGAGTCTATGACTGAGTTGAAGCCTTTACTTAATTACTAACAGAGCTTGGCACGAAATATCAACAAAATTTATTAATACACTACCCTACATTAATGGAAGAGACACTTTGAGTTTTCAGGCTTTTTTTTTTAAATTTCTCAGCAAATAGCAAAAAGATTATTTTATTACTTAAGAGATGTTAGTTTATGCAATTTTTCATACTTAGCAATAAGATTTACAGCTTTCAGAGATTGGGGAGACCGACAATAAATTACGAATGAAAGCAAGTATTTTTAAGCACTTTATGCCAAAAATTCAAGCAACAAGTTTGTAACTTGTCTTAATTACTTTAGTTGTTACTTTTAATAACTGTATAAAATTTCGTAAACCTAGAGTGAATATTTATAGATATTTGAACCTTTTCATAAGAAACTAACTTCATTAAATTATCTTTTTTTGTCATAACTTTTTAAGTACTGAATGGAATCACACAATATTTTTCGAGCAATTTAAAAATTAATTACAAAATAATTTACTTAAAAAATTTTTAAAAATTTTTAAAAACTGCACATATTACAAGCATTTACGGTAGTTCCATTATACTGTGCATGTGTGGAAAAATAAATAAAAAACTCTTAGTTTTGTAATGAATCGTATTTGGCAGTAAATGATAAACCGACATAATAAACCGAAGGTGTTAAATAGTTATGAGCATTGAGAATTACTGATAAACTGAAAATGTTTTTTTTTTCATTCATAACAAAATTTCACTAAAGTTATGAAGAAAAATAATTATGATGGTACAATTTTTCTTAAATGTCTTAACAATGTAATCATACTTATTGGTTTATAGGGTTTCCAAATTTCTGTGAAAAATGAGAAAAGAAAATCTACACACGAAAATCAACTTTCTAATCAAAATATTGTTCAAGTTCATTGATAATAATCTGACAATTGAAATTAATCTGGTAATCGTCAATGTAAAAAGTAAACATTATAATTTTAAGGCATTTTTATCGTAAACTATTAAAACTTAACTATTATTTTATCCAATAAGAGATATTACAAATTAAACAAAGCTTACACTTAACTTACTGTGATTAATAATCAAATTAAAAAATTCGAAAAAAACTAATACGTTTGCTTCATGGTAATATTTTAAATTTATTCTGATAAAACTTACATACTTTGTAAGAAAGAAAGGAATAACTCCTTCAATAAAATTTTAGTTACATTTTAAAAACTGTAAAGTTAAAGCAATTTATAAGAATATTTATTAAAAATTAAATAATCAGACTATCTTTCTTATTACTTAATTCTTAAATATCTACTTAAAGAAAGTCACTCTATCTTTGTTTAATAATTGTTCTTTAAAAAGATAATGTAACTACTAAATTGAAAGATTTTTATTAAAAAAATAAACAAGAGATTAAACCTTTTGAAGCAAGTGCAAAAAAAATTTTTAAATATGTTTTTAACATCAATTACATTTGTACACTTTTATAAAACTACAAAATATTCGAATCATAAAAAATGAATATTTGCATGAGATTAACAAATTTTTCCTTTAACTAGATTATGTATCAAGACTTCAAAAGTATTTAAATACAAAAAACTTTTATTGCATAAATGCAATTTGCGAAAATTTTAGTGTCAAAAAAGCGTTTGATCTTGCCTAATTCTGAAACTTGTGAAAAATATAAAATAACTAAATTGATTTCAGACAAAATCTTTTTGGCGTTTTTTAAATTAATGCTATGTTTTTTCTTTAAAAAAATATAATAGTATAATAAAAATAACGAAATAATTAATAGATAACTCAAATAAAATATTCCGAAATAAACTAAGTGCATAATAATGTTAAGATTTGAATAAATAAGACCAATACAAAATTCAGCTACAAAACTTCAAATTTGAAAACACTTTTATTAAACTAAATTATGTGAGAGACATGATTGTATAAATAAACAAATACAAAATAGAAACAAAGCATTCTATATCTATCATAAAATATTGGAATGTACACTAATTTCAAAGACTTGTAAAATGTAGATGTGTAGTGCGCAAAAGAGGGAAACATCTTGAACAACTTTAAATAAATGAACGTATTTTTAACGAAATCAGTCGAATAGTCTTTGAGCTATCATTTGGAGATTCTTTGTCATCATTTAGAGGTTCTGTCATCATTTAGAGGTTCATAGTTTTTAGAGCATTTGACTAATTTCATTAAAATATTGTGTTTTGCCATTTAAATTTACGCTCTTTAAAGTAATGTAAAAACTTGTAAACCTTTCAATTTTTACATTCTTATTTTTGATTTACTTACCTTACCTTAAACCTTACTTATTTTCGACTATCATTAAATGAAATAATAAAAAATAATAATTAATTAATAAAAATTATCTTTGCATTGTATTATCTTTGGATAAATTATTTTTGGATAATTTTACAATTGTGAGGAAAAATGCTTTGATTCCTTGAGCTCTGGAGTTATAGCGAAATACTCGGAAAAGTTAAATTAAAATAAGCAGTTCAAACTTTTGACTACACTCCTGACCAAACTATTTTAACTACATTTTCGAGATTGAGACTTTCCCTTTTAAGTCAGAAATACAAATCTGTCAAGAAAAAAGGTATGTTTATTCAGAGAATTTCTGTGTCAGATTTCGTATCGTCTGCACCAATTAATTTATTAATTATCGTCTGCACTAATTAAATTATTAATTATCGTCTGCCCTAATTAATTTACTAATTATCGTCTACACTAACATTTAAGGCTCGACCCTAGAACCATCAGAATTAAGTCTTATTGTGCGAATATCCGAACTGGATACTTCCCTCCGATGGAAAGTTTTTCTTTTGGTACTTCTTTTTTAGCACACTGTACAATAGTTTTATTAGAAAAATAGTTACGTGCGAATCAAAAACATAGATCTTGACTAAGAGAGATCAAAATCTGTTCAAAAGTTATGAACGCTGTTTTATGAGCAAAATCCAGGAACCTATAGAAGTAAATGGCCTGTGCAGAATCCAGAAATTAAAAAGTTTATTGAGCAAGAAAATATCTTGAGATTTATAAAACCAAAAAGAAACTCGCCGCGAAAGAATGAATGAAACAGAAATACTAAATAAAACCATGAAAGGTAAGCTTCATAGCAATAGAAAAAAGAGGTAGTCAAGAAAGAGAAAATCAAGAACTTAGAAAAGATTTCCGATTTGAGAGTGCAGTGGAGCTGTGTTGAAAAGAAAGACTACCAACTCTGTAAAAAAAAGTTCCGTTAAAAAAACGCAGTAATTCTGTAACTTCCCAACTGAAAATTCCTCATCTCTAAACATATAAAAATTTACTGTTGAACTACATAGCTATTTGTAAGGAGAGGCATTTTTATTAACAAATAAAAATCTATAATAATTGATGCAGACTTCATTTGTTGAGGACAGATTTTTTCGGTTCTGAATATGAAAAGCTTTAGTAAAAAATCGGCAACAAATAACTTGATGCATAAAAGTACATACCGACTGGCCTTTATGGTGGTCAATAAATTTGCTTCATGACTGGAAGGCTCCGGGTACCCTTCGGATCGTCTAAACTTAATAATGAGAAGAAAAAAAAATTCGACCTTTCTTTCAAGCGTGATGGTTTTCAATTCCTTGAAAAATCGCATAAAATCACACAAAAAATGAAATATTTAAAACATTAATAAAAATTTTACAAACCTGTAACTGGGCAAAACAAAGAATATACCTTCATACCAAATTTCTATGCCGCATTGCGAGGACCATACAATGACTTTCTAAAATTATCTGCTGCGTACAAATATTTCCTGTAATGTTCTGTTTCAGAAAACTTCCGTCTAAGCTTTTTTTTCTTCCGTAGCATGCGGATGATCTCTAGCAACTTTGTTGCCAAACATTTTCTGTAATGTAACGGAATTTTATTTACATTAAAAGCCTGTGGAGCTAGTGAGAAGAAATTAAAAAAAATGCATGAGCAAAGCTATAACTAGATTATGGCCTAACTGACATTTAATTTCAATTGAACGTAATTTAATTGAGCGTCCATTTAATTGAGCGTGATCATTAAATATGTATTCAATTTCGAAATATGTATTTTACAAGGAAATGAGTTTGGTTATGAATGTAGTACTATTAAAATACATCATAATAGAATCAAATTTTCATTCTTTCGTAATTTTTATTACAGTCATACTAGCATAAGACAATTAAATTATGATGAATTTTCTAGAAGATTCCTCAACACTTTATAACATCAAATAATAAACTTGTTAAAGTATTCAGTTATTAAGTCAATTTAAAAATTAAGACTGCCAATATGCTCCGTTTCTAAAGCTTAGAATATAAAATTTAAATGGAAATTTCAATGGAATATTTTTGCGCTTTAAACTTACAATATTTTCCATTTCATTTAACTGTATAGTTTATCAGTACAATGTTGAAAACAAAAACATTCAATCTATATTTTTTTGAAAACAATTATTTTTAAAAACAGTAATTTTTTATTATTAATTGGAAAAAATATCTTAATTTTTATAAAACCATACAAATTCAGACTTTGTTTATTTGTGTAAATAATTAGTTATAGTTCATATAAATTGTGTAAATTCTGGATGTAAACACATCAAGGATCCCAAAAATGTGACTTAAATTAATTTTATGGTTCGTAGAATACTAATTATAATGGATCTAAGAACACATATGTAGTTGATAGAATACTAATTACAAACATGTATACTTTGATTCTCTTTATTCAACAATTTTTACCTTTTTAACTACACTGAAAGTATTTCTGGTCTTATAAGCTACAATAAATAGATATAAAATGTCTGGTTTGCGTTAGTATTGAATAAATGATCAGTTATTCATCATTAGTTAACAACTAACTATTCTCTAATTACATCGCAAGGATTAGTAAGGAAGAACTATTTTTGTCTCAGATTAAATTACAAAATAAGTTGTATTGTACAAATATATCTTTAGTTATGATTAAAGGAGCTAAAAAAGGTATAGAAGTTTTAATTTGTTTGTTTTAAGCCTTGTATCAAATAATTATCTGTGAATACTTAATTTATCGAATTAAAAGTTACAAGGAATTTAAAAATTTTAAATACGGTACAATTACAATGTAAACTATGGAATAAATAGATGTTCACAACAAATTTTTCAAGTAAGAAAATTTTGTAATATGCATAATGAAACACCAGGGAAATCCTTACATTTTATCAAAAAATAATAATAACTTTTTTTCCTGAAATATTGTTTCTTCGCTTTTTTTTCAGTAATTCATGTAAACCAAAAATCGTATGGTGGAAGGAAGTTAAACGAATTCGAGAGATATATTAAACCAGGACATGCTTTTTTTTTTACTAGATAAAGTCTGTCATTTATCAGAAATTACATTTAACTCTCTGCAAACAATGGCGATGTTATTTGGGAATGAATTAAAGATAAAGGCTACTTGCTTATCGATGCCAATTTTATAAAAATTTTAGTTTTGACAGCACCGATTTATTCTGTTGTTTTATTTATTCTGTAGGTAATTATTAGTAGGTAATTATTAGTTAGTATCTGTAGGTAATATTTTAAATAAATTCAACAACTGATAACTCCTTATTTATTTATTATCTTTAATTATTAAACCCACCACCTTGGCAGTCGGATATGATAGGGTCTTACCCGATGCTATTTGACTCATGAAAATTGTTTATGACTACTTGTTTACTTCACGTAGTTCAACTTAGCTTATATTCTTTATATAATTCCTTACGAAGGTTCGTAAATTACGTACGTTCGTACAGTTACATGTGGCACACGTTCTTAACTTAAAAACTACACAATTGACTTTTAAAATCACTACAACAAAACAACGATTGACTACACACTAAAATTTTTATGAAAAACAAAATATGATGTGACAAATGAAGGATAGCATTTTCTGCTCATTCATGCAAATCAAGTAACATAGGTGACAACTTAAGTGCATATGAAATTATTAATTTGACATTTTTTTTCCAATACATAAGCAATTAAAGTATTTGAAAATAATAATTTAGGCAAATTATTCATTTGCATCAAGACCAACAAACTCAAACAAAATGTGCATCTTTGTGTACTTTGGCCTAGTATCTTTATAGCACCTTTAATTGATAGTTCTGCCTGTTATTAATTCTGTGTTTATTATTTATAGTGTGGGTTTTATTGATTCGGTTTGTACACGGTATATGCAACAGATACTGTTAACACAAAAAAAAAATTTCCCATTAAATTATGCTATTACCAATAAATAAAACTTTTTATTTTCATGGAAAGCTATACTTTATTTTTAAAGATTCCAATAAAATATTCTTCAGTATTATGAATATGATTTTTTTCAATTTATGCAAGTTACATGAAAACAAATTTTAATTGCATAAATATCAACATTCCAACAACCAATTAGTTCAAAAGAAAACAAACCTTAAAAATGTTATATAAGTGTGACATCCAATGGTGCAAAATGCAAAATGTAATCGTTCAAAGTACAACACCATGTTGCATTGTTGTTGATGCTTATCTTAACTGGTCTAGTGAATAAGCTGAACAGTTCAATGAGTCTCTATACGTTTAGAAAATGCAAGGAAATGGATCTTTGTTTCAAATCTTCCCTCTCAAATGCCAGGCAGCAGAAGATCATTGGATCGGGTGTGGAATTTGAGTTTTACACCATGTTGTACCTTTGTAAGATTCTTCTTTCTCAATTTTTTTTCTGAAGTGTATAAAAGAATTCGTTCACCCAAAATTATATTAAAGTAAACTTATATTCTACTTCTTACAAAATTGCATTGAATTGAATTTCATGAGAATCCAAATTGCATATATTTAAGTGCATGAATATACAAATTCAATGAGCTAATTAGTTTTAAAAAAAAGCAAGAAATGAATGTTATAAAAAGTAGCATCCAATGGTTCAAAATATAACATGTGGTTGCTCAAGATACAACACCTGTTGCACCTTTGATCCATTCTTCTTTCTGAAATTTTTCTTAAAAGTGTATATCAGAATTCGTTCGTAAAAAATTATATTAATATAAAACGTATAATGTTATTCCTAAAAGCATTTCTAAGTTTTTAGAATTGTTACTTTTGTATAAAATAATAAAAAGTTGAAAAATTGGCTCCAAGATGCCATCCTCTGACTTAAGTATTCCCTGTATGTATATGCATTCCCTTTTAAAATAACATGTAACCATATTCTAGCACTTCTTATTCGTTTCAGAGAATCACATCAATAAGTCATATCCGTAATCCTTGTACAAAAATGGATAATACAATAAAAAAATCATTATATATTATCTAATATACACCAATAAAAAAAATTTTTTCCATAATCCTTATACAAAAATGCAGAATACCATAAAAAAATCCCTATCATTATTATTATCTTTTACATCCGTGTGTGTGGGGGGGGGGGGAAGAGTAATCGACAATGTTTACCGTCATCTATGAAAAGGTATCCCAACATAGAGTCGAGTTAACATGTCTTATATACTAGTGAATTGTAGTTGTAATTTAGTAGTGGTAGATACGTTACAGTACTCCCCCACCAGAATTATAGCTGTGATAGAATTCGATGCATGGATGCCACTAGTTGTTGTATTTGTGACAGACCGGGAGAGCTGGATTAAGGTGACCGGGTTTTTGAACATTAGTCATGAGAGCTGTATTAAGATCAAGGTCGTAGTCGCTCCTGTGTTGCCTTTAGCAGTCGGGTATATGCAGGTTGACGATGTGTGTGATCGAGACGAGACTGAGTAGCAACAGTGCGAGGAGGTGCATAACGTCGCAGTCACTAGTAGCAAGTCAACTGTTCAATGTGTACCATCCATCGAAGTAAGCGTGTTCAGATAGAAGTGGGCGTTACTGCCAAGGTAGGCGTGTTCACATCACGTCCGGGTCACCAATGTGGGGAGGGGAGAGTAATCGACAATGTCAACCGTCATCTATGAAAAGGTACCCCAACATAGAGTCGAGTTAACATGTATGTCTTATATACTAGTGAATTGTAGTTGTAATTTAGTAGTGGTAGATACGCTACATCCGCTAAAAGAAAATTGAAAATTTCTCAGCATTCTGATACAAAAATATTAAATACCATAAAGCAAAAAACATTATACAGTATCTTTTATATTCCTTTAAAAGAAAATTGCTTTTTTTCTCGAATCTTGATACAAAAATATAGAACACAATAAAAAAAACATTGCTGATTATCTTTTACGTTCTTTTAAAAGAAAATTGCGCATTTTTTTCAAAATTTCCATACTAAAATATAGAATGCATTAAAAAAATCATTATATATTATCTTTGATATGCTTTTAAGAGAAAGTTGTATTTTTCCCTAATCTCGATACAAAAATATAGAATACAATGAAAAAAATCAATATATATTATCTTTTATATTCCCTTAAGAGAAAATTGCATTTTTTTTCTCTCTATTCTAGCTATTCAGCAAAACATTTCACTGTAAGAGTTGGTGAGTATGATTTAAGTCAAGCAGAAACAAATCATTCTGAATCAGACTACCGTGTTGAGAAGATATTCAAGCATCCCAAACTATACCAGCCAAGAAGGTATAATAATGATATAGCTTTGTTGAAACTCATGAAGCCCATTGGTTACGAAAGTTACGTATGGCCAGCTTGTCTACCTGACCACGAAGAAGACTTCTCTGGTCAACAAGGAACGATAATGGGTTGGGGATTTCTGCAAGAAAACGGTAACACTTCCTATGAGCTTATATCTATGTGAATATTGTGTTTAAATAATGAATTTGTTCTTTTCTTTATTTGTTATACTTTCTCGCGTTTATTTCGATTGAAACTGTGATTGGATTCTAAGAGGTTTTTTTTTTTTTTTTTTTTGCTCTATATCGAACTCGACTATCAAAGGGATAGGAAAATTCTGAATATGCTTCTAATTCTTTTTATTTAATTTTTATAAATAGACTGAATAAAAAGAATAATTTCTAAAAATAGGATAAATAAAAATATGTTATTTATAAGCCAGTGCTTATCGCATCATGTGAAATACAAGGTTGTCATTTAATCATAATTTTTGTTACAAGGTATGAGGTAATTTAGATTCTTCATTCATTTTTTCTGATAAAATTATTAAAATATAATTCTGCAGTCAGCATTGTTTTTGCGTAAATTATGCTTAAAAAAACTATCAGCAGTATCCAAACCGGTTTTCATTAGTTTAAACTATAATAAAACTAAATTATAATAAGCAATATGAAAACAGACAAATGTGCCGTTTTAAATTAATTACTCGAAACAACAAACAGCATAATTTTATTGCTTTACATTTCTGAAAGAAAAAATTACTGAAAGTTCTTAAAATAATCATTCACTACTTCTCCTAATCTAACAAAACGTCACCTTTATTTTTAATCTTTTGCCGACTGGCCTGTGTAGGGATCAGGGAACTGGCCTTGGCTCAAGGTTCAAATCCCGGGCAGGGCATGGATGTTCCTTCATTCTCTGTATGTCGAAAGGTCATTCTCCAGGTGGGCATTGGAAAAAAAATTTAATCTTTTCGAAAAGGTGTTAAGTGAGAAAGAAAAGAGCAAATTAAAAATTTAATCTAAAATCCAAGATTAAAAAGGAAAAAGCCTCTTAAAGGTCCAGCTCAGCCAATTAATTGCCGATTTCAAATGGAAACTTTTATTTTATTATATATTCTTACATACGTTTCAAATAATATTTTATTAATAAAAATTTTAATTCCATATATTCCATAAACTTAAAAGAAAAAAAAACTTTTCGTTGGTTATTGGAATGTTTAAGCTCACCTTATGTTTAAAAAATTTCTATTTAATTATAACTAATTTACTAACAAATGAGAAACGGAGAAACTTAAGCTATATAATATTTATTCTATTTGCTTCGCAATATCTTCCCTTTACAGCGTTTGCCCTTTAAAAACTGTACGTTTCATTTCACACAATATTTTGTATTACAAATTAATTTTTAAAACAAATTAAGACATAAATTTTATTACGTTTCAAATTACAGATAGTTTAAATTATTAATTACGTGTAATTCTAATTTTTCTTAATAATATTAAATTAAATTTAACATCTATGTTATATTTTTTCGTACTAAATGTAGGCAAAGATTGTTTAAATTCGGTGATTTGTTAAGTATTTGCATAATAGTTATACATTGAAGCTTTCAACATTTAAATATGTCGAGAACATTTTATGTTGCTAATAGAAGTTATTCCTTGAGTATTTAACAGAAACATTTCCAGTTCATTGTATCTAAAAAATTAGATGCTTATTTAACTTATAAATTTTTGAGTAATTTACTATATTTCATATTATTTTCAATTAATGAAGCATATTTATGCAATATTGCATACCTATATTCCATTATTTATTATAATACTACCTAGTTTTAAAAGTATCGGAAATGTTAATCACACAAAGTTAATCCCTAAAAGCTCTTTAAACAAAATTTTAAACAAAAGTTACTTCAAACTGTATTTTTAAGTCATTAAATGTATTATTATTATGTTTAATCATTGATATTTACGAAATTATTCTTATATAATATATTTGTATATAAATAATTGTCATTAAAAATTGCAGTTTAGTAAAATTTTCTGAAAATCTTGAAGCACAGAATATTCTATTATCAGATACAATTATTAAAATAAAAATAGTGAAATGAAACATAATTAATGTTAAAATTTGAAAAATATTTTTTTATCCAGAAGTTGATTTTTAATTTAATATGCATTAACTTTATTTAGCAAAGGTTTGATTAAAATTTTTAAGCTATTGGTATAAATTATATTTAAAAACTTTGAATAGTATTACTTTAAATATTATACTTTATACTTTAGGAATAATACTTTAAATATTATAAATATCTACAAAATATAATTAAGTTTCATTAAAATGAAAGCTAAGTCTTTGCATTTTTAGTGAACAAATAAAAATAATGACTTAGGAATAAAGATAAAGCTACATTTATTTAATTTTGTAAAATATTTGAACATTTATCAAATAAAATAAATATTTTAACTTATGATAATTTAAAGTGATTTTAAAAATTCCTTTTAGCTATCGAGATTAATTATTCTCATTTCAGTAGCAAAACTCTTATCAATTTATATTTGACATCGCTTTTTTTAATTATTATTAAAGTTGTGGCATTAAAGTGAAAAAATTCACAATTATTTAAAAATACAAAAATTTATGAACAGTGGAAGAAGTTTTTTATAATAGACTTGCTTATAAATTACTTAATGATTGTAAATGTTAATTAACAACAGAAATAATATACAAAAAATATGGGTTTGTAAATAATTAACTATTTTAATTTGCCATGAAAGGTTTCGCCCGCGATATAGCATCCACTTAATCTCCAATTGCTAAAATCTTAGATTATTGCTATCTGTCGACAATTTTATGACAAAAAGATTGCATTAGACAAATAAAAGTAATAATTCACATTCAACTAAAAAAAAAATTCCAACGATTAAATTAAAAAGTCAGCAAAAGAAATTTTTTCAAGCTCCATTTATGCTCACCCTACAACCATTAGAAAGTTTCTGTTTTCTCATATTATCGTCCTTATTTCACCTTCACTGGTGTTTTAGATTATTTTTGGTTGAGTCCACCATCTTCTTTGGATAAATGGAGGTTTCGCGTATTAAGGAAAGATCGCATACATACAAAAATATCTTCGGATCAAAATACGGTAAAAGTATCCGCACTTCAGATGCATCATTCAAAAAATCTATTTTACTTTAAAATCCATTTTTACTGTGAAATATTATCCGTAATAATTAATTAGAGTGTAATTAATTAGAGTGAAAAATACTCTATATCAGATTTTTGTACCGTTGCAAGTTCCAGTGAAAGAGGATTTTATAGTAAAATGTACGGACACCCTGAGTGCCGGTACTTTTTACCGCAATTCGATCCAAAAAAAATTTAAATGTATGAAATGCATTTCCTCTAGAATTTAAGTAAGTGCTTCATCCTTCCAGGTGGTGTACGAGCAAAGATACTACAAAAAGTTCAAGTTCCTATAATGAACAGAACACAATGCCAAAATCTGTTTGACGAAGCAAAGAAAAGAGTGAAATTTCACGATGGGCAGATATGTGCAGGATACAGAGAGGGGAAAAAGGACTCTTGTCAAGTAAGTTTAACTTAAGAGTTGAATTTTAAATTTTAAAAATATTTAATTCAAAATTTTATTACTCTAATGTTAAAATGCTATGATTTAATCATATTATAAAAATTCTGCACATTCTTCATTTATTGAAGTAACAGATTACGTGCATCATAAAAAATTCTGAATCAAATTACGCTAAAAAGTACCGGCACTCAGGATGCCGGTACTTTTCACTGTAAAATACATCTTTACCAACTCATGTTACGGAACAAAAATCTAATATACCTAATTTTTACTGTAATAATTACCATAAAATCACAATTTTAATAAATATTACTGTAAAAAGTAGGGCATGATAGTTTGCGGCAAAAATGGATTATATGATTATATGGTAAAACTGAGTTTACTGATAATGCACTAAAGTGTCTATACTTTATACCGCAATTTGATACTGAATTTTTTGTATCTTGTGTGCATCTTTGTGCCCTGGGCAGAGAATTGAGTCAAGTATTCGGACCAAGTTCATATTCACTAAATAACGGTGCAGCACAAATAGTAAAATTGCTTTTTAGAAATCCAAAACATCAGTATATAAAATATTATCAATATAGCTTTTAAAAAAACTTTAGTCAAATTTAAAAATATTTAGGTTTTCTAAATGAATCCAAAGTTCCATTTTTTCTTACCAACAACGTAAATTTTAATTTTTTTTAAATAATTAAAGAGGAACTTTTAGTTTTTAAGTTAAAAAAAACGTTGATTTCAAAATAACATAAAAAAATTACGTATGAAATATGACTGAAAAATTAAACTAACGCAAAATGTATTGAAATAACCTAACCTAAATAATAAATAGACGACTGAAAATGTGCTTAGTTGTCAATGAAAATTAACGTTTCCCTCTAAATTTCAGGAAGTGTTTTAAATGCTAGCTTTTTCTTTGCGATTATTTTGCAACGACTTTAAATTTTTAAACCTGAAAATTAAAAGTTACTTTTGTTTATACATTTAAAAATATAAAATTTACGTTTTTTAATCAAAACTTTAAATTTTAGGCCCATTTAAGAAAGCCTAAATAATTTTCGATTTGACTAAAAAAATTGTGGAATATGTGACTGTGGTTTTTTTTTTTTTTTTTTTTTTTTTTTTTTTTTTTTTTTTTTTTTTTNTTTTTTTTTTTTTTTTTTTTTAATCGATTTCAAGTTTTGAATTACGAAAAAACGCTTTCGTGATACTTCTCGAGATAGGGGACTTTCTGGGTAAAACTACCTCCCTTTTTGCTTCATTTCGAGGAGAGAACCTTCTTTTACCTGTTAACATGACACTCCCCCCCCCCTGGAAATGTCGTATTATCTTGCATCAAGCAACACAACTGAGTATTTTTTTTTATCTTCGGTCTGCAGTATGGTTTAATTTGGCTCAAATAAGTCTAGCGTTTAGGCAATAAATTTGCTTCAAAATTATGTAATGAAGATATATTGATCTAAAATAATACAAATCATTTGCACATAAAAGAGTAATCGATAATAATAAATTTCTGTGCTTTTCCTTACATTAATGAGTAGCAATTATATTATTAATACTATACTAACTACGCATTATGACAATTATACTTATTATAATGTTATATATGCTTATTCTAATGTTATACATTAATTTATAATTATATTGGTTTTACACATTATTGTCTTTTAAGTTGTAATATGATACAGAGATATTGATATAAAATTACTCGATACATTTATTTGTGATAAAGTAATTAGTAATAAATATTTCTTTCGACAAAAATGTTTTAAAACTCATTAAAATTGATATTTCATACATAAAATTCAAACAAATAATAGATTTCAAATGAAATATGAAACGTAATTAAATTTTAAGTTAGTTAAACATTAGAAAAACTAAATTTATTAAGACGGCATGAAATTCATTCATTTGAAATATAGCGAACAATGTTTTGAACTATATGTTAAACTTAATTAAATTAATTTAGTTAAATAATTAAATTAGTCACGAATCACATTCGTGTAATTACTAACATCGTTGCAATCATAACGCACTGATGATTTCATTTATGTGTATCAAAATTTGTTAGAAATTTTTAAATATAATTGCATTTCTATTGTTATTAATACAGTAGGTCTATGATATTAGATTTCGTTTGCATTCCATTACAGCAACTTTTTTAATGTTTTTGAATTTTAAAGTAATAAATGTTTCAATATTTCATAAAAGTGACCTATTTTATGAGTTCTTTTCTTTTCTTAAATAATTCATGTTGAGTGAAGTAGTATTTTATTAATTACTGTAACTTTGTCTTGTCAATAATAAAAGGGCATAACATATCTATTATAGCATTTCAAATATTAATCAATTGTAAGTATCATGTTTTAAAGCTCTCAACTCTTCTGTATTATTATATTTTCAAAATAGCTAGTTGGTTTAGCTTTTAAATAACTTTTTAATAAAACTTTTTAATTTATCTTACAATATTTTAAAATCAAATAGGCTAAAAAAGTGGCTTTTGAAAAGAAAAGTCCGTATTATAATCTTATATAAAAGAATATAATTGCAATATAATTTTTTAAACATAATAGCATTTCTATTGTTATTAATACAGTAGGTCTAGTTATTGGATTTCATTTGCATTCCATTACAGCAATTTTTTAATGTTTTTGAATTTTGAAGTAATAAATACTTCAATATTTCATAAAAGTAACATATTTTATGAGTTCTTTATTTTTAAATAATTCATGTTGAGTGTAGTAGTGTTTTGTTAAATTTTGTTAATTACTGTTGTTAATTACTTTGTCTTGTTAATATTAAAATGGCATAACATATCTATTACGGCATTTCAAATATTAATCAATTTTAAGTATCATATTTTAAAGCATTCAACTCATCTGTATTATTATATTTATAAAATAGCTAGTTGGTTTTTATTATAGTTACAACGTAGCTTTTAAATAACTTTTTATTAAAACTTTTTAATTTATCTTACAATGTTTTAAAATCAAATAGGTTAGATGAGTTAGATAACTTTTGTTTTTGTTTTTGTCTTGAGTTAGATAACTTTTTAGTTAGTAGTGTCATCTGCTGATAAATATTGTAAATAATTTCGAAGCTTATAAAGAATGATTCTTAGTTTTATAGCAACACGCACAAAACCGTTATCCTTTTATTTAATTTTTTCAGGTGATTTCAGAAATCATCAGTAATTTCTAGAACACAAGACACAAAAATCGCTTGTATACTTTTCTCAGATGTATTTTTGTCATAGAAATAAATGTATATAAAATGCATTCTAAACACATTGCAACATTACATAATAACTTCACCAATACACTTACAATTTTTAAATTTTAATTATTATTAATTTGTAGTATCCGGACTTTAGTTGTACTACAAGTAACATCGCATCCATACGATTTTACTTTAGATTGAATAAAGATTTTTATTTAATTCAAATTTCCAAATATATAGTGAATGCAACATACATCAAAATATTTAAAAAGCAGCCTTTAAGACTCATAAAATTGTTACATTAGCTATTATTTTTAAATTAAAACAATCACTATATAAGTTTACCTTTTATTTAACATCAACAGGAGTCTTTTATTGTGAAAAAATTATGTAAATCAATAATTATCAGAGAAATCTTTCAAAAAACATATAATCACTCAATCCATAAGAAGTGTACTAACAGCAAAACAGAGTAACTTCATTCTCACAAAAGGAAATCCATATAGGAATCTTGAGATGACAGAACAAATATATTCAGAAACTATTGACAAAACTATTAAACTAAATCGAAGCCTAAGGCTAAGGTAAAATCCTAAAATAAAATATATATTGATCGAATGCCTTCCCGACAAACCCTTATATGACTTGATGTATAGGGGAGAGGGGGGCACATGTGAACAGGGGGCACATGTGAACATGGTATGTTTTACCAATATGATTTGAAATAAAAAATCTCGAAAAATTTTCAATTGATGGCAGTACTAGTCCTACCTCTCTGAAAAACTTTCAGAACAATGAGACATTTTGTTGGTCTATTCTGACAATTTCTTTGTATCAGCTGGTGTTGCATATATTATAATCGCTCGCTTCTCCAAGTGAAAGCATAATATAAATCAACTAATAAACTAAAATTAACTATTGCAGATCATTATATGAACATTCAGGTAAGTTTATGACAATTATTCTTTTTTTTTACTCAATTAAAAGTTCTTTATTTTTCAAGTTAGGTTTAAGAAGGATGATGGGGGCACTTGTGAACAAAACATCTGGGGCAGATGTGAACAGTTCACAAGTGCCCCTACATAGTATTAAGATTATTATCCTCATGATATTATAAGTTTAAAAAATATGTATGCATTTAAAATTATCATTATTTAATTTTCCATAATTAATTTATTAATTTTTCCTTTAAAAAATTTTTTTTTTATTAAATGGTTGATCGCGCATCACGCATATTAACTGATACACCTGAGAAAATAGAATTGTTAAAGCTACAAATGAAAAGATAGAAAAAATGAAAAAAAAAAAAATGAAAGAGTATTAGAGAAGAAAGAAAAAGGCCCATTACAACACCCGTGGAACATGAAGTTGCGAAAAACCCAATTACGGATAAATTATTGTACAGCTGAAAAATTATTTTCTTATTGACAGTACTGTTGTACAATTTAAATTCACATAGTAAGCTACAACCCCCTCAGTATAATGCGTATCTATATCTGTTATATTAAAGATTTTTTTTCTTTGAAATATGATGATTGCTTTGTGTTTTTAATCTTGTTCATATGTGCCCCAGGCCTGTTCACATGTGCCCCCAATAGGGGCACATGTGAACAATTGAAGTCATTTTTCTAAAATATTATAAAGTAAAGAAATATTTTATTGAAAAATCTCAAAAAATTCCACAAGACAAAGAAAATACTATTTAAACATATGGACTTTTTTACTATGAAAAATTGATGATATTTTTCGAAAAGTGAAGAAATAAAAAAATTTGTTCACATGTGCCCCCCTCTCCCCTATCTTGAGGCATGCTTTCATTATGTTGAGTATTTTTAAACAAAGAAAAGAGTTGTTAAGCAATTTAGAGAGAATTTCTAAACAAAAGAAAATGGATTTTATTGTATGATTCTTAATAAATATAAACTTTAATCGGTTATGATTTTTTTCAATAAACGTTGAAATAGTGTACCATTTTTAATAATTTTATAATAATGTATCATTTATAATAATTAATTCCCTAGAATTATGTATAATATATAATATAAACAAAATTGGAAATCCAGCCTAGTATTGCAATGTCGAAAATAGAGCGGGAAATACAAAATGATTAAACGTATCTCACATTGTCTAGGCATCTCATTCAGTACCAAGTATGATTGTTTCATACTTTTAATTAGTGTGATTATAATTTATTAACATTACTGTACACCCAGTAATATTTACCAGTCTCCGTTAAAATTAATTTCGTGGTTCAACTAGTAGGTTCATAATTAACTCAGTTTTCTTTTATGAGAATGGCATAAAATTTTAATAATCACCAAATATTATAACTACTCGGATAACAACACGGAAAGAAGAAATTCTGATATACCGTGATGTATCGGTGTTTCTGTTTAGAAAAACAAAACAAAAAAAGAACAAAATTTTGATAATAAAGTCAAAATATGCACGGTTTAAAACCCGTCATTTGGTAATTTTTCCGTTCGTACGGTAACAGTTTACCGAAAATTAGCTTTTTAAGAATTACAGTTCTTATTATCACATATTTAATAAAATATATAAAATTGAGTATTAATTTCAACCGAATAAATGGATTTTATGCCCTGCCCTAGGGTATCCAGATAAAATATTCAAAATTTACATTTATCAAATTTTATCACAGGTTATAAAATCATATTTTATTGTTAATTTTACCAATATAATTACCAAAACACTTCAGCAAAAATTATTAAAATTTCTGGTACATATTCCCATAGAACCAGAAACACGATGACTAGAATTTTAGCATATTCTGGTAGATTTGACCATACTTTTTTATATAAGCGTAATTATTGACAGATTAGAGATTGCGCAGAGATAACTTATTTAACCAAAAAGAAGTTAACAGAAAGTAAATAAGAGCAAAATATCTCTGAAAGAAAACTCCTTCCCATGGTTGGTTAGTTGTTTGGTGTCGTGTCATGGACAGAAAATAATTTTAAATGTGATCAAAGGTCCTATATACAACATCTAAAATTCGAAGGCAATTATCTTCATATAAGTCCGCCCACAGACTGTCACTTATTTTTTGCAATTGCGCCAGTATAGCGGGATGGTTGAAAAGATGTACGGGGGTTAATTCTATGTCTGGGCAATTTTTGCAGAGGCAGTAAGTCCTTATTCCGTCACCATGAGTCTTCATCCCCCTAAAGTGTCCTGTCCGGAGTCTTGTTAGTGTGCTGGTGAGAGTTCTATTGGTACTGATTTCATGTTGTCGGTGTTTGATTTCGATTTTCTCATCATTGAATTTTGCCTTAGTCACTGAATTATCGCTGAGAGAGACATGAGTAACTTTGCTGGTGCTTAATTGTCTTACCCCTTTAACTCCTTCCCATATATACTAATAAATGTAAACTTCATTTTGTATTATGAACTTCATTTTATAATACTATGAACTTTATTTTTATAATACTATAAACTTTATTTTTTATTACTAGGGAGGTAGGTAGGTATTTATTTACGTCGCACTAGAGCTACACAATGGGCTATTGGTGACTGTCTGGGATACATCCCTGAGGATGATCCGAAGACATGCCATCTCAATTTTGATCATCTGCAGATGGGATGGCACCCCTGCTTTGGTATCCCGATGACCTACGCGAAGTCGAGCACTTTACGGTAGAACAGTTTAACGAGAACCGTTACCACGCACCCCCGGTCTCTACGCAGGCTGATCTAAGTGGTCATCCACCCGCTTACTGACAGCAGCCAGTGATGCTTGACTTCAGTGTTCTACTGGGAACTGTGTCTTTATGATCAGTCCACTGCGAGACTTCTTATTACTATAAACATCATTTTATTGCAGTATCTACTTCAAAAATCTCTTACATTTTTTGCTGTGTATCGATATAAAATCGGCTCAATTTATTTTAATTTTTTCGCAATATTTATTATACAAATACTTTTTTTAAGGAAATGTTTAAATTCTTAATGATTCGCCATTCTTTCAGGGTGACTCTGGTGGTCCATTGGTTGTTAAGAAAGATGGCTCTTTTACGGTAGTTGGCATAGTATCTGCTGGAATCGGATGCGCAAGACCTTTGTTACCAGGAGTTTATACATCCGTGGCACATCACGTACCGTGGATCCATGAAACATTTGAAGAAATTTAGTTTAATATAGATTTTGAATTTTTTTTTTCAATTTATAAAAGTATATTTGCGATCCTCGGTTTCAAAACCAGCAAGATCAATTTTCAGAAATGTTACAGATGTAACAAAATGAATTTCTCATGCAGGAAATTGGATAAAATCCGATTTCCTTAAATAATTATTTTAAAGATACTTTCATTGTCAAAATTAGTTTACTTTTGGAATAAATTTTATTTTTTAAAAAAAAAGTGTTTCGGATCGAGCTGGTTTTGACTTGAAAAACCTGGTTTAATACCAAAACCGATTAATGATTAATAGAATTATTAATAATTCATTTTTACCTTAAGTTCATGTTTACTAGTTTTCAAAACGTTCGTATTTAATAGGCTAAATTAAAACTGACATAACGTTATCCATACCACTAAAAATTAAAATTAAATAATTATTTTTATGCATATACTTTTAGTTTTCACTATTCCTTTACTTAGTTTATTTTTTTTATTTCGTTTTACCTAACTCAAGACAATATCTTTTATGTCTTTTTAGCATAAAAAGTATTAAATAGAAAAAAATCTAATTACTTTTAAGAAAGTTATTTTTCTCTTGTCGTCTCTAATAGCCTTTTTCCCCTTACTTTTTGTTAAGTTTTTCTGAACCAAAAAAATTTCATTGTCTTGTTTCCATTAATATTAAATAATGTAAACTGTTCTAGGTATAAATTTTGGTTATTTGTTCATCATACCTATTTTTTCGTATCAGTGTGAATAATTTTATTATGCTCCTTAATGCTTCAAATTGCATTTTTAAGTATAATATTTATTGCTGTTGAGTGACATTTTCAAATGCGTACTGAAGCAATTATAAATATTTTCAATTATAAGAAAGTGACATTTTTTTACAATTAAATATTTCAGAATTTACAAAATTTGTAAAAAGATAATACAAAATATTTAATTTAATCTTTTTTCATAAAATTTTAAAAGCAATCCAGGTCATTTCATATTTTTGGAAAATACTAGTTTTGGAAAAATTTTGCAAAAAAAATTAGTTTCAATTTTTTCTAACTTGCAGTTATAAATTCAAATTTGAAAAAAAATTCAATAAAATAAAAAATATAGATTGGTAGTCGTAAAAAAATTAATCCTTTGTAAAATATATAATATAACCCTCAAACAAAGATGCTAAAGCTTCAATCTGAATATTCATTTGCAATTAAACTACAGGCAATAACTTTTTTGTTAATTTGCACAGGACAATCTTTGTCACTTTTCCCGAATTTTAGTCAAAAAAGTAGACAAATAAAATTAAAAAACGCTATCGAAATCAATCAAATGAATCCTCACTTGGGAAATCGGGACTAAAATCATAAAATCAAGAATAGTTGCAAGAGAAAACTTGAAGATATTTCTAAATATCGCTTTGAACGGCAATATACAGGTTTTGAGGTATTTAACCCCACTTTCATTAGTAGTGATTCATTAAATTATGATCCCGTTTATAGATTTTTTGGCTTCTTTGACAAAGTTTCTTGAAATATATAAAAAGGCTGGTAGTTTCGTTACACCTAGGATATACGTTGCGCTGACTTTTATTCGCATTTAGTAGCTTTTTGTACTTCTGTATATCTTTCCTTTCAACATTCAGGATTAAGATAATGATCATTCATTTAGTGCTATCAATTTTAATTATGAAAAACACCATAATCATACGAAACTGAAAAGAAATTATATTTATAAGGATTATGCAGGTATCTTATTACATATAGAATATTTAGGTTAAACTTTTAAGTATAAAATATTTAGCGAATGAGCAGGGCAATTGGGTATGACTTAAATTGTTAAATTAATTAAATAATTAAATGGGTATGACTTAAATTAAGTTACCTAAAAAATTAGAATATTAATTTTAATACACTAAAAAATTAATTACATTTAAAAACTACACAAACAATTAATTAGTTAAAAATTTTAAGAATATAAGCTTTTCGAATAATTTTAGATAACTGTGCTTTTAAATAAATTGCTTGTTCATGTTCTATTTAAAATATTGTTTTGATTCTAAGAATAGTAATTGAATTTAACTTAAATATCCGAAAAATAACAGAAATTATATTCAAAAATTATTGTTTGTTTCAGTTAAATAGTTTTGTCAGAATATATTAAAATATGATTTGCTAATACTTTTATCAAAGTTTTTTAGATAATATTAAGAAGTAAAATTGCTGTTTCGGAAATAAATAATTTTCCACCTGAAACTTCAAGTTTTGAGTTGTTTGAAATCATTTTTCTTTTTCATAGATCATCCTATTTAAAAAGTTGCTTTTAACAATGTAGGCTTTTGTTTTTGTGATAAAAATACTCTAGAAACAAAAAAAAATTACATTTGTATTGATCTCTTTTTTTTAATAAGGTCAAAGGAAATGATCCAGACTTCATGCTTTTATTTCTAGTCATTTTAGAATGCTTGTTATCAATTGTAGATGTATATTACTTGTAATGTATAATTTGAAAATAAATTATTTTTTATCTTACGATTTCGTTTGATTATGTTTTAATAGTAGTCTATGTGTTACCTGCAAAGTATGAAATTGGTCGGTTAAGTATAAAATTTTAAAAATTTCTTGCATCGCCAAGGTCTTGTATACAATACCAAATAACAAACCAAAAAAGTACAAAAAAAATTATTTTTTTTTTACTTTTAATTAGCAAATTTATGATTTTTTAGTATTAATTGAAAGTAATTTCTTAGTGAGACCAGTAAGTTCGTGTTGTATTTTGTTCTCATTAGTTTGAAAGACATACATTTTTAGCAATCGCTTTGCATTTCTAACTAGCTGTTAGAGATGTAAGAAGAAGAAAATTACTAAAAAATTAATACTGAACAGCACTTAGAAATCATACACAAACTGAAAAAAAATATTCGTTGAGTAGAAAATCACCTTTTGAAATACTTAAACAACACAAACAGGCTTTAAATTGATAAACACTAGGCATAACTAAAATAGCAAAGGATGCACCATTATCTTAGGAGCTAGTATCAACTACTTATTTTATAAATCTTAACCCTAAAAGAAATCTGCACGGTGAGCGAAAATATTATCCAGTGCTACATACATTTTCATGCTACATACATTTTCAATTAAAAAAAAAATATGTATAAAATTATAGCTGCATTTATTATAAAAGTAATTTTAGACATACATTACCACATGTGTTATTAAGTTCAATTGCTACAGATAAAATCTGTGGATTTGGTCTGAGTTTTTTGTTTGAAATACAAACAAAAAGGGAAAGGGATTTTACTGCTTTCTCTAAATAAACTTTTAGAGAAAGCAATAAAGCATTATATAAAGCAGTGGCTTCTAAAATTAATTCAAGGTCATTTTCCCTATAAAATGCGTTCCCAAGTTTGAAATATTTTAGAAAATAGGGAAAGTGGATCTTAAAGAAAAGTTCATTAAATAGAAAATTCACTTCGCTGTTTGGAAGTTATTTCACGAAGAAATTTACAAAATGTTCTTGGTTCCTCGAAGAAAATTGCATAATATCCCCCAAAGAAAACAAATACGATTCATATGAAATAAGAGCATAAAACTTTTTCTATGAAAATCGTCCCCTAAAGGTTTTCAAAAACAAGGAAAAAATTTATAAATAATATATTTTTATCTCTCAGAAATTAAAAAAAGCAGTAATGTGAGCTAATTATTTCTTCGTTTTAAAATAGTATAAATTAAATTAAAAAAATATTTATTATTATTTATTTAATTAAAATATTAAATAAATTTAATATTTTAATTAAATAAATATAAAGCAACCCGTCATAGTTTATTCTAGAGAGCATTTCAAGAATAAGATAAATGTTTGGTTGGCAGAAAATTAATTACTTTTTTCTACAAAAATTTGTAGACTTCGAACAAAAAAACAAACAAAACAGAATTCCTTCTTAAGTGAAAACTTGACAAAAATGTTTAAAAAATTAATTTTCAAGAACCTTTAAACAAATTTCAATTAAAGCATGGTTAATAAAAAAAAACTAGGCTCTAAGTGTAGCTTGATCGATAAATTTCGAGGAAAAAGCAGGATATTTTTAATAAGGGAGGACTCCATAATGGGGGAGTGTTTAAAGCTCTCATACTTTCATAGCAATTTATTCTGAGCTAACAAAAAATTCTGGTAAAACAAGAATTTTCTTCCGTATTGTATAATAATAAAATATCTGCCCCCCCCCCCAAATTAAAAAATAAATAAATAAGTAAGAAGCATAATCCTGATTAATAAAACTAAAATATGCGGTATTTACTCGTAATCCATGCATTAAGAAATTTTTTTCGTTCATATGGTACGGTTTAACTGCATAATGGTAAACAATTCTGGTTTTTAAAATCATAGTTCTTATAACCACACATTTAATAAAAATTATGAATCTGAAAAGTTTTTTTAATTTTATTTCCAATGAGCTGCACAATCGATCTTGCCGATGAGCAGACCTAGACCTAGTGCGTTCTCCAGAAGTGGAATCCACTCTTTCAGGACCACCATAATAGGTGAGATACCGTTGGTCATGTTAATTTGGACGTCTAGTTTCTGCCACACTAGATGGCAGCACCGAGACTCTATTTGGATGCTAAAGTGCACTAGGAATTTAATTTTGCCGGAAATGCCAAGAGCCAATAAGGCACTCCAGGGATCTTTTACATGCCGCATAATCATACGACATGGCCGCTGAGGATTTTCTGCATCCCGAAAATCCGGTGTCTGGGCCGGGGATCGAACCCGCACGCTTGGACTCAGAAGGCCGACGACAAACCAACTGCCCCACCCAGCCACCGATCTGAAAAGTAAATTTAACCAAATAATTCGGTTTTTCATACCCTGCTCTAAGGTATCATGATAAAAATACAAAACTTTACCTCATTTACCAAATTTTATCACATATTATAAAGCCATATTTTATTGTTAATTTTACCAAAATCATTAACAAAGTGCTTCGGTAAAAATTACAAAGCTTTTTGGTGTTCCAATAGAACTAGTAGCACGGTAAATTTTACCGTATTCTTGTAGCTTTGAACATACTTTTTTCTCAGTGGGGTTCCTTAACTTTACTTAATTGAAATAAATTACATTAAAGAGAGTTTGAAAGATACATTCAAATTTCGATTGGAAATAACATTATATTTTATCAATTATAAGTTATCTGCTTTTGCAACGATATATTTAAAGAAAAACTTATTTTAACATTTTTAGTGCAAATTAATTTATAAAAATAAAATTGAAAAGTCATATTTATTTAGTTTCAAAATCTTTCCTCTAAAAACATTATATTTTGATAAAAAATAAATTAAATTTTAAAAAAATGAATTAAATTGCAGAAGTTTTGGGAAAATGTATATTTTGAACAGTGTGTAATTATCAATTTTAAATATACTCATTACAAAACTAAAAAAAAAAAAAGAAGAAAAGTTAAATTACATTTTTTTACACTTGAGATAGATATTTGGAATAGCTTGATTATTAGAAAAAAAAACCTTTTCAAAAGCATCACCTTAAAATTAATTTTTTAATGCGCATCAAAAAACTAAGATAAATATTTCTTTGATAAAAAAAAAGTTATTAATTTTTTTCTACATTAAAAAATTTTTAAGACATTGAACAACAATAGAATTCACTTACTAAGGAACACTTGTTAAAAATGCTCTTAGGAAAAATATTCAAGAGCTATAAACTAATTTTTCATAAAAGTGTTGTTAAAAAAAACACTTTAAGTTATGTATTATTTTTCGACGATATATTTTAAGGAAAAGTGTATGAAATATTTTTTAATAGTAAAGTCTCAAGAATAAACGAGTTTTTAGAGCTCTCATACTCTGAAAACAACTCATTTTAGCCTCTTA